TTCCTTTTGCTGTTTCAGCCAAGAGTTGTCTTTTCTGGCTGATCTATTTTCTATCAGACAGTGTTTTTATCTGCTTGCCTGTTTTTATTGCCAGCTCTTTGACTACACCTTTGGTTTTATGTGATGTCATAAGCATTATGAGCAATATGAGGAGAGCCAGAGAGCAGGGGGCACTCATTGCAATTACTGATGATGATGATTTCTTCTGTGTGGTTTTGAGCCAGTCAATTCACTGCTCTGTATTTTTCTTTCCTTGCCTCATGTTTTCATCCACCCTGTCAGCTTAGAAAGGCAGCTTCACAGCGTAAGACTAGTGTGTGTTTTTACAGCAAGGCCTGCCTGAAGTTGGGGATATTGCATATATGGAAAATAGAAAAATTGTTTTGTTGAGCATTTGCTATGCCAGGAGCTGTGCAGAGACTGCTCAATTTTACACATGTTATAGAATAATCCTTGTTCTTATTTAGGCTAAAATGCATTTTAATCCTTCACCTGAGGATTTGTAGATTGAAATCCACACTTTCCTAATAGGAAAGTGACCCTCATAGATAAAATTTGACACCCTTATAGATAAAATTTGTGCCTGCATCATCCTCCAGTTCCAGTATTCAGTTTTAGAAGTGGGAGGGCTGGGGAGATCATGACATGGATCTGAGTTAAATTCACTAACTTGTGCATGTATAAGTATTTCCCCTTTTTCTTTTTTTCTTCCCTGAAAGAAATTTTATTTCAGTGCAAATTTGGGCATCTCAGAAAGGGAGTAAAAAACAATTTCATGCTGCTTGGTTTCTTTTATTTGTTTTTTGAGTTGTGTCTCCGCTTTTTTAGTACTTTCTTTATTATTGCTGTCTTCCTTGAATTGTCTTCCTCCAGTCTATCACCGCTGTGCCGTGTTTCTGTTGTCCACCTTCCCTTCTCCCCTGCTCTGCTGAGATTCCCAGAAAGCTTTGTGTTCTCCTGTAGCTGCTGTGTGTCCGGGTCCCAGCTCCCAGGAGCGATTCTGCTGCCTTTTGCACTGTGCCCTGAAGAGCCCTGTCTTTCCAACAACACACAAGCTGTTTCAAGACTTTACATGTGCTCTTTTGATTTCCTTGATAATTCCTTTTCCCATGACAGATTCCATTCCTTGCACAGGGTTTGTAGCCCTTAGATCCTTTTGCTTGTTGGTACAAAAGCTGTCTTTGTACCTCCTTCTATCAGCTGTGGCAACCCTTGGGTTTTTTGTCAGCCAGACCTCTTCAGTCTCTCTTCTATCTACCTCTTAAGTGCTCCTACCTTCTACCTGCTAAATAATTTAACTTAGAATTTGTGTTAAATATTTGTGTGATTAGCAGGTTTAGTTTTGTGAAATGTTTCAGACAGAACTTGAATTAAAGTTTCCGTACAAAGCAGAAAGTGTTGCACATTATGATCTCACAAAAGGCTAAATTTGCCCAAGAGGATTTCCAGAGAACCAGATTTCAGAGATTCCTGGAGAATTTGGGGAATTCCCAGGATTCTAAAGCAGATTTGATTTTACCTGTAAAACCATAAATAGCCTGTTAAAAACCAGCAGACAGTGTTTTACAGACCATGGACTGGAGACAGTGGATTTTAATGGCTTGCTTGGGGTGATTGAAAAGCGTTTGTTTTAGTTTTTAAGTAAGTCTGCAAAGTTAAACAGCTGGTTTCTCTTCTCAGTTGCAATTATAAAATATTGCAAGCTCTTGAAGTGGAATTTATATGAAAATATTGAATAAAGCTTTCATTTGAACAATCTGTGTTTGTACCATTGTGTATCTGTTCAGGGAGTTTAGGGCAACCTGGGAGATTGAGGGGTGCAGATTCTGTTAAAAATGGAGTCTGGGGTAAATATAAACTAAAATAGGTCTGTAAATATGGAAATGCTTCTTAAAAATAATACTTTTATTACTTTTATTATTTTATTTTGTGGCCACCAACAGAATATCTGAGTGCCTTCCTGTAGCACCTTAAGCAGTAACTGGAAGTTGGTTTATTCTGTGCATCAATTATGAGTAACAAAAACCTTGGGTTTAAATTTTTTATTTAAAAGTTTTTAACTGAGTTCAGGTTAAGATTTGTTGCGGTTACTGTTAGTAACATTCAAAATAAAGCTGAATATATGAGCTTTTTGATGATAACTGACTCTGATTCAGTATTTCATGTATTTGCTGGCCTTAGGAACAATGAGCAGCACTCTGAGAGTCAGATGCACACTCGATGACTCACTGAAAGCAATCGAGGTGAGGCACCCAGGCTGCCCTCCTTTAGCAGAGGGGGAACATCCATCTCTGCACTGCCATGGAAGGGCTGCTGCTTCCAGGCACACACAGCTTTTGTCTGGCTTCCCTGCTGGCTGGGTGAGACCTCAGCAGAGAAATGAAAGGGGTCCAGGAACTACAATTCCTATCAATCAGCAGGAGCTGCAGAGCGGTGAAGCTGGTGCCTTGCACGAGCTGTGATGTGACAGCTGTGGGGAAGCCAGGCAGAGGGTGGTAGCTTGTTTGCTGTAACACTATGTGACAAGGGAGAGTGCAGGAGAAGGCTGTTTCCAGCAGAGGAACGTTCTCTTGCACTGTTGTGCTGTTTGTTTCTTCCCAAGAAACTCTTTTCCCTTTTCTTCCCCATGCTTTGTTAGTGTAATTTTCCCTGCTATTGATTTTGCTGCTGGAAGTCCTGACTGCTATTAGGAACCAAAAAGCCCAAGCTGAAATATTCCATCCTGAAAGCACCTCAGAAATAGCAGTGTTATGCTGCACACCCTTTCCTTAAGGACAAAGTGCCAGGCCATGGTCAAACACAATCTCTCAGCTTGCAGCTCTTCCATCCCGCAGAAAGGCTAGGGTGGAAGAGCTTAGAATAAAATATGGCTTCAAGTATTTTTTAAGTTTGGAGAAAACAAGTTCAAATAATGTGTTCTCAATGAGGAGAAGCAAATATATCTGGTTTTAGTAAAGCAGAGCATTGCAGGCAGTGGCCTCCAGTAGAAGTGTTTCCACTCTATCCCAGCTGTCATAGCTGTATTTGGCTGACATACACAGGTATATGCAATTGCAGGAAAAGCTTAGGACAAAGACCCTTCAGGATCTCCTGGGCCAGCCTGGCAGAAGGGGCTTGCCTTCTAAATTTCAATACCTATATTCAGGATATCCAAAATTTACTAAGAGGGGAGCTGCTGTCTGCTTTCCCTCTTCTCATCACTCTGCACAAAACCATCAACAAGAAAGGGCTACAGAAATTATTCAATCACAACTATCCATAAGGTCCTGCAGAAATATCACTGTCTGTCTTCCAGTAAAATAAATAAGGCTCATATTTTTAAGTGTTTCAATAATTTTTCATAGTAAAGAACTTCATAGACACTAACTAACCCTGGAAGCAGAATCCTAAATTTTTTAGGAAGTATTTAAGAGAAACTTGGAAATGTTTGAGAGATAGAATTAATAAAATTAATTGGTGCATTTAACTGCATAATGATAGTGAGCATGGTAATTCAATAACCATGTTAGCTGGATATTCTCCTATTAATAAGGAGATATTAATAAGCTGATAATATTAGTTATTGCCAGTCTGTTGGCACTGCAAGAAGTATATGCTCAGTTGCAGATCTTTCTGGAGGGTTCTTTTTCTGGACTGCTTACTGAAAGAAATCCAAGTCCAAATGAATCCTGAATTGCACAGCAGTAAGTTTTCTGATTGAGTTGCAGAGCTACCAATTAAAAAAAAAACAAACAACCAATTCAACCAAAGCCCCAAAGCTTTTGTAATTAGTGTTGGAAGCAAGAGAGAAATTGTCAGACAAAGCTTGCTGATAAGAATACCCAAAAGAATGGGAAAATAACTACAGAATGGAGGAACTGAGTATAATTTTCCTGCTTTCTTCCTGTTAGAAATTCTATTTTTCTTAATATAGCTGAAAAATGTTACAATTGTTGCTATATATATGGTAATAAAAACTACACCCTTTAGAAGAACATTTTCTCACACTGCATCATTCCTGGTTACAAAGTAAATATGCAAATATAAATCAACCACAAGGCATAATTTAAATTGCAACAATGAACTGGTTCGGGCAGAAGACGTGCAGAGCAGCTTTCCAGCAGAACCTGGGACGAGCAGGATGGAAAGAAGCTGCCATGATCTGGCAAGTGAAGCCAGCTGAGCGGAGCACCAACCTTTGTGCCACCCTGAGCACGGAGCATTCCTGAGTCAGGCACACAAGGAGTGCCTGCAGGCGCTCAGTGCCTGCCAGCACCACACATGTGCAGGCAAAACATCAGCACCAGTCCTGCCAAGCCAGGGGTGCCCTGGACACACCTGGATCCATCCCCTCAAGGACAGGCAAAGGCAGACATTCCCAAAGACAGGAGCTCAATTCCAGGGCTACCTGGTTTGTTGAAATGCATCTGCAGTATGAACTTGTTTTCTCTGCCAGGAGACAAGGAGCTGCCTGTTACCTCATCAACTTCATTGAAAAGCAGAGCACATACTTCTACACTGCAGCACATGGGCCAGTCCCACCACAAGCTGACCCAAGAGTTCCTGGAAAAAATTTAACAAGTTTCTCTTAAAACATTCTGGCCCTTTTTCACTCCCTTTGTTTTTAAATATTTGCTCTAAAAAAATAAAGCATCTCAATACAAAGTTATTTCTAAGGTACTTAATTTAGGAAGTTCACACACTAAGTGGAAAAAAATAAATAGTATTCAGGAGGCAAGATTTTAGACTATGTTAGGGGAGCTCAGTTTCTTTCACCCAGAGAGGAACATCTCCCACCACCAAACAAAAAGCGCACTATGTGGTATTTATTCTGCTCCACCACCACAATTCTCTGTCTTTCCAGCTGCAACACTGTCAAGAGAAGGATTAGCCTAACAAAGCCCAGCTGCCAAGACAGGAGTGTGCACACAGAACTCCAAGCTGATGTTTTTCTGCCAGGGCTGCTGCAATAAAAATTCAACCCACTTCCACCAAGATACAAAAAGAATAGTATCACACCCTGAAAAACAGAGAAATAGGTTTTAATCAACATATCATCTAACAAACATATCGGTTTTATTCGATTACCAAACACAATAATTCTCTTTTAATTCTACTTGAGGTCTTCAGCCTCCTCCTTCTAAAGCCTGCAAATTTTCTAGATATTGGGTGACAGCCTCTATCTCTGCAAACTCCAGCAGTCTGTTGATTAGCTTATCCAGTGCTTCTTTCCCACTTAGAATTTCCTATGGAAAAAAAGCAGACAAAAGCATTACTGACTGTTCTTCAGCATTATTCTGAAACAACAACTATTCAGACCCCTGAAATGCACTTTGCCTGCAGTCCCTCCACTTGCTCATCCTTTCAGGTTGCTCCCATGTGAGAGCAGCAGTGGGGGACAGCAGCAGGACATCAGCTGCCTGCGTGTGCGAGGCACATGGATTCTGGCAGCAACAAAAGCAGCTGCTGCCTTGGTTTCATGCACCTACATGAGAATTCCCTGCAAGAACAATCAAGGACTGAAGAACCTCACTCAAACACTGCTGGCCACGTCACGAGTGAGGCTGTTTTGCAAGCAAAGCTCGACTAACTTTTGTCAGGTACTTTATGGCTCCAGTTTCACTCAAGGAAGACACAAACTCTAAGGAACTGACGAACAAAAGCCACTTTTAAGCAATCATGGAACTATTTCCTCTGCCATGGTATTCTGCACTCCATTAACTATGAACCATTCCATATTCAGTATGCCCTGCATTTTCTGGAGTTACCCAGGACACCTGTGGGTACAGTTTCAAATGTGTTGCTCCTTATGCAACAGCACTTACAGCAAACTGGATACCTAAACCAAAATATCGAGGGATCACCCTAAACGTTGTTTTTCATAAATTTAATTTTAAAAAATCCATTATCAGGGTTTTTTTCCCATTGTAAAAAAGCCCCAATAAACAGAATCATAGAATGGCCTGGGTTGGAAGGTACAGTGAAGATCATCCAGTTCCAAGCCCCCTGCTATGGGCAGGACACCTTTCACTAGACCAGGCTGGATCAAAACTCCATCCAACTCAGCCTTGAACATTTCCAGAGATGAGGCACCCACAGCTTCACTGGGCAACCTGCTCCAGTGTCTCTCCACCCTCACAGTAAAAATATTTTTCCTAACATCTAATCTAAATATACCCTATTTTAGTTTGAAGCCATTCCCCCTTGTCATGCTCCTGTAAAAATCTCCTTCTTTCTTGTAGGCTCCCTTTGAGTACTGGAAGGCTGCAATTAGGTCACCCCAAAGCTTTCTCTTTTCCAGGTTGAACAATCAGTAAGATTCAAGCCATATGTAGATATTTACTCGGACACAAGATCTCAGATAATATTAAAATGAAAACATTCCACTACAGTTTCTTTTAACTGTGGTTTGCGATGAAAACGTAGAAGTTTTTCTTGTTCTTTCCTTGAGCATTAGGAGGAGGAAAGAATGGCCTAACAAAACTAAAAAGTCCGTCCTGTCAGGATTTTTGTTTGGATGTACTATGCTGCAAGAATCTCACATGTCACTTGCCCAGTTTGGCCAAAGGACTCATGGATCTCATTGAGGACTACATGCTTGGTCACTTTACACTCACATCGTAGGAGAAAAACACACAGAGGTGTAGGCCAGTGAGCTACAGCCTGTGCCAGTCATCTCTAAGACTACAAGAAGGCGGGAAAGAAAGTTTAAGCTTTCTAAATCTAGTGTTCTGTTAGAGCACAACTGGCTACATTCTTCATATATATCTTAAGCTGTAGTCACTAAGTTAATTTTTTCTTTTTATGGTAAATGTGAGTACCTAAGTACTCTCGTAAGGAGCCCTTACCTTGATATTGCGTGCATCATATGAGATCCTGTGGTCAGTCACTCTGTCCTGAGTGAAGTTGTAAGTACGAATTCTCTCTGACTGGGCTCTTGTTCCCAACTGCAGCAAAGCAGGAAAAAACAAAATCTGTTGTGTTTTAAAAAAAACAAATACTTCTCTAGAACAGGATGCTCAAAATAAACAGTGATGGATCAGCCTGTTCCAACTACCAGCCTAGTGGTCACTGGCTTGGCATTACTGAACTGTACTGTCTGTGACTGTGTATCACAAACCAAGTTTCTATATCCTCCAGCACATTCCTGTTCCCCCTCTGTAGCTGAAAGAATCACATCGCTTTCAAAGGTCGTGTAAGGTACCAAAGTCCTTACCTCAAAAAATTTACAAGTGGGGTTTTCTCGGGGGAGAGGGTTGTAGCTTCCACACAAAATAATGGAAGTAGGGTCCATTAATAATGGAAGCAGCACAGTCAATGTGTGGCTGTCAGAAATGAGCACCAAAAGAGATTAAGAGTAAAAAGTGAAGTTACCCTCTAGCGGTGAAGTGTGAGAATGCAAACAACAATTTTAACTTGAAGCAGAAACCCAAATGTAGCACTGTAGGGATTAAACACTTCACTAAACACTGTGGTCTGGTCTCCACTAAAATGGAGAATTAAATGTTAAAAAACTCTCAGAGAAATAAATAGGTGTCCGTTTCAGTGGGCGTTGGTGAAAATTTCATCTGCTCTCAACATGTGCATTTTAGAACATGGAATTTCTTGAATAAATTCCAAAGCATTAGGAAAGGTAATTCACTTTTGCCTGATCTTCCACACTAACAACATAAACATAAACATAAATATAAATCCTTTATGCAGCTTTGAAAGCTCTCAAACTGAAATTAATAACAAAGATAAATTGCAGTGAATTTACAATGATGGGGTTAATAATCTGCAGGGACAATACACTTAAATGCAACATGAAATAAGTGACTAAATAGCTGAGCTGGAAAATCTGGAGTACTAATTAATTCTCTACTTCTGAAGCAATTTTATTCCAATAGATTGCTGTTGAAGTTTGAACCACAACTGGGAAAACACTCAAAGAATGGGAAAGGAATGACAGGACATTTTGAGCAAAAAGCACACTTGGCAGCCTAACTTGAGGTAACTCTTCCAGAAGCTATTTCTTCCTCAAAAGGTGACCTAAACTGTATCAAATAAGCTGCTACTTCATTGCACTGTGGCAGGATTGTTAATTTTTTACTTGTTTCTCTCAAACCTCTGTATGGCCTTAAGATATTCTTAAAAACTTCTGAGAACTCCTGATCCTAGTTTCCATTGAACGTAACTTTTCACTGATGCTTGAATTTGTGTAACTCTGGCCTTAATGGGGGCATTCAATACACGATGTTGAATCTTCTCTTTTGAAAAATTTCAGCCATTCTTTTGACCCTTCTTTCCAGACACAGTTGATGTCTCTTTTCATTGCCTGAGAAGTCTACAATACCACTGAACTGGGGTAAGTAAAGGCAGAGTTACCATTTTGAAGTACAAGATTCTCCTCCCATGTGAGCACTGCTAGTTCAGACACACACTCCCACTTGCTCTGTCCCTTCAACCCAAAGAGATCAGAAACAAATCTCCAACACAACACAACGCCCCCTCCAGGTCTCAGGCACCACTTGCCTCACCTGCAGCTTCCTGGCACTCTGCTCCTGACTGAGCTGCTTCTCAAGGACCTGCTGGTAGAGCTTGGCTCTCAGTGTCCGCAGCGCGATTTCCTTGTTCAGCTGCTGCGAGCGCTCCTGCTGGCACTCCACTGCCAGCCCTGCACGCAGCCATCCAAGAGCCCATTAGAACAGAGAACAAACAAGCTGAATTAATTCTAACACATTAGGTAAATGAAACCTACTGGAGTGCTGCTGCTTTGTAGGGCCTTTCAGCTGCAGGATAAAAAGTCATTTTAACACACTGGCCAGCACCATTAGTGCATTTTTAAACTTGTCACAGCTGCACTGGGGGGTTTTTGTTCTGTGCTACGGAAAAGTCAGGGATATTTTAAAATTTCATGAAGCAAACAAGTTTCTGACATTGCCTCTAGAAACTGAATTCACTCCAATTAGCTGCCATATATTAAAAATGCAATTTGAACAGTCTACAAGAGGGTGTTCAAAAGTGCGTAACACAAGTTTTTAAAATCTTAGTCCAGATAAGCTCTTGGAGACTGGAAAATTCATTATTCCAGGAGAAAGGGGTGCCTAATTAACACTGGTGAGTCTTGAACTAAATTATGAAAAATGAGACAAAACAAGACCTTTAGGGCTTTAAAAGAAATCTCATTTGATTTCTGAATGAAAAAGGCCTATAGGGAACAGTTGTTTTCAGGACAATTTCCTGCACCTAAAGTGATTCTGCATCTTACAGAGAGAAGCTCACTGAGTTTCAATAAAATAAATCCCAAAAAAAGACAGAATGGTCCAATCTACACTGTACCTTCCCATCAATACACATTTTCCTTTCTATCCAACATATGATAGCATTATCTAGTACTGAATGAAGATCTTCAAGCCTTCTTTTTAATCAGTCATGTAACTACACAGACTCCAGCTAGGCTAAGCACGCCTTTGCTTGCCAGCAGCGATTACTGCTGAAGGTAAAGAGCACACAGTGCAAATTATTTACATCTTCTACCCCATCCCTGTCACCCTCCATTTGTTCTTTCATCCTTCAAAGACAGTTTACTCATGAAACACTCCCTCCAAAGACAGAACTGGCGTAATCCCTGTGCCCCTGGTACACGGCCCCTTTCTCACACTGCGTGGCTACAAGAGGGACAGAACCAGAAGGGGATACTTCTCTTTTTGTTGGCATAAGGCCCAGCCCTGCAAGAGACAACCTGCAGGAACACAAGCTTCCTTTTCAAGATACAGATTCAGTGTGATTAGAAGTGCAAAGTACAGCCAGAGTTACCTGTAGGAAGGTGCACAATCCTCACAGCACTGTCAGTTTTGTTAACGTGTTGCCCTCCTGCTCCTTTGGCTCTGAACGTATCTATGCGCAGATCTTTGGGATCCACTTTAACATCAACCTAGAAGCAAAGAAAATTACTACTTCCTGGTCATTCCAAAAGTATTTGGATGTCAGTGACACTCAGCATTAATAAGAAATCACTTCTCAAAAAATTGCTCCTTTACAACTGTTCCTAAGTAACAGTCATTATAATTTAAAAAAATACAGTGTTAAATATCTCTGAAAAGCAAATGATGCCTCACGGATTTCTCTTAGTTTTTCAAACTCTTACTCTAGGTCCTTCACAAAACAAAGTATGTGTGTGTGTCAAACAAAACACAATCACTGTTTTGCAAAACCACTAGCTTTGGCAGAGAGGCTAAAAAATAAGCAAATATTCAAAAACCACTTCTAAACAGCAGTGCAAGGATCTTGTTCATGAATCATGCCTGAATGATTCTTGCAAGAGTACTTAGTCATCTGAGAATAGGCATATCCAGATCTATTCAAGTAAGGATTGCCACACTGGAAACAGGAGTCCACAATGACCTGGACCACAGTTTGAGCTCAGTGGATGGGAAAGGAACATTCAGATCTGATCAGTGTTGCAAGGAAAGTATTACAAAGAAGCAGGAGAAGGTGCAGGAAAAGCCTACAGGATCTGGTTTTGTTTAATTTTTGTGTAAATTCATGGTGTAAGTAAGAACTGTCCGTATCAGTGCAATCTCAGACAGACTAGCCAACACACTCATTCACATTCAAAGGAGACTGTCTTTGATTTACCAGAGAAGGACACCATAATTTAAATGAAACAAAAATCTCAAAAGGATGTACAGAATCACATTACTATGCAACACTGAGTATTTTCTTGGATATATTCTGTCTTAGTACGTGATGTAATTTAAAATTGGCTTACTCATCGCAGTGAGTCGTGTCAGTGTTGGGGCTGGAACACTTAATGAAATGATCACTCACTTACGTGCCATTTCAGGCAACATCAAATCTCTGCCAAGTTGCTTCTGATGATCCATTTATACATGTAAGGTACAGAGCCAAGGACTATCACCTCCCAGAGTCAGAGCACTTGTGTTTCAATTGCTGAGACTTGCACGAAGCACTTGGTTATCAGTGAAATCCCCAAAACAGTAACATGCTTTTAAATAACACCTACTCCAATACCAAAATGGGTGAGCAGGGGTTCAGCACCACCTTAGCAAACCAATGAACAGTTTACCTCCTCTGGCTGAGGGAGGACAATGACTGACATTGTCCCAGTGTGAATACGCTGCATTCTTGATGACAAGCCCGTCTCAGGGATTCGCTGCACTCGGTGAGTCCCTCCTTCATATTTCAGATGCCTGTAGACATTCTCTCCTGAAATATGAGCAGCAGCATGATGCAAACCTCCTGGAGAGACAAACAGTGTGTGACAAATACAGCAGAGAAACACTGCTTCCAATTCCATTGTCTTGGAATCTCTGAAGAACTGCTGTACCTATCTCAGCTGGGGTATAGTTCACGATGTCAAAGGTCCAACGCTTGTAGTCAGCGTAGCTCTGGTACATGTCAAACATTTCTTTAGTGAACTGCTGGCAGATGTCCCCTAAAAATCAAAAAGCATTACCACATAAACAGCACATCTTAGATTTATCTGCAACTCTAACCCCAGTCATTAGGCAGGCTAAGGCTCATCTTTAGAAAGTATTCCTTTATGCCAGTAAAGTATAAAAAAAGCATTAAGTATAACCCATAAGAGGTTTAATGGAGTTGGATGGAGTTGGAAGTAATCTTCACTGTAGGGACTTTGCTGACCTCCAGTTGTTCTGCCAGCTGTCACTTCTAATATGACAGGACTTGTATCATATTTTTCCTTTGGCACTAGAAGCTGGAAAAGCTGGAAATAAAAAAAAAAAAGAACGCCATTATCTCTGTCATGACCCTGGATCTTTGCTTAATCAAATTTACAGCCAGACTTCACAACTGCCACAGCCTGAGCACACACTACCACTGACTTCCTTTGACAAGGAACTTAAGTAGGACTAAAAACTGTCCAATGACCATTGCAACTCAGTGCAGTCAGTGTGGAAAGGCAACATGCTAGTGCATCCACATGAAAGCTAGCGAAAAGTCCAGTCCTCCCAAGTTAGGTGCCAGGTCACCCACCCCAGCCCCAGCTACCTATGGAGACAAAGTTATTAGCTAACCCAGCCAATCTTTACATTAATCTTATTTCTCAGAAAGTCATTTCATATTATTTTAGTCTGAGTATAGAAATGAGCCCAAACACAGTGGTCTCCACTGAATTGTTTCAACTTCTTTGCTTTTATTTCCCTCACTCATGGGATATTGTCAGCTGAAGAGAAAATGAATGATTGCAAGTTCCAATCAGAAATCCCTCAAGAGTGCATGCTCCACTGCCACAAACAGTTACTAGGATGTTATGTCAAATCACAGGAGCACAGACTCACCACTTTTTTAATCCCCTTCAGCATTTGCAGACAGACAAGAGAAATTACTCAATCATCTCCTAAGACACAATTGTCACTAACAAGCTTATTAATAATTAATGTTGCCACTTTTTTTCAGGCAGAATACAAAAGCTGGACTTCTGTTTCATTAAACTCAAGTGTCAGAATCTATTAGTAAGACCACAGAGGAAAGGTTTTCTGACATCTCTATTTACAAAGCAGTGAAATGTTACCTCAAGCTCACCTTTCTGCACAACATGTTCATTTTTTTATCCAGGCTTTCCTTCTCTTCTAAGGCAAGCTCTAGAAGTTGTTTCTCATCTCTGCTGTCTAGCTCTAAATTCAAACAACAGGAATTGATGTTAGCCAATCTCACCAAGAGCAAATTATAACACAGCTGTCCAAAGACATGCACTGCAGCACAGAGAAGCTTGTAGAGTTTTGCCAGCATAAAATACTCAAATAAGAGCAGCCCAAGCTAGGATGCACATTGCTAACTCAATGATCATATTTTGCAGGTGTACTAGAAGGAGCAGCAGATATTTTACCTTTACCGTCCCACATTTTAGAGCTTACTAACAAACTACAACACATTCTCAAGTAAAGCTTAGAGAAGCTCCAAGCCTCTTCTGCTATAGGTTCCAGCTTACAGTAATAAAAATTTTTGATCAGTTAGCAATAGATTATACACTAAATAGAAACTTGAAGACAGTTGGAGTCAAGTGAAAAACCTGACACTGCTAAAACAGGGAACCCCCTCTCCTTTTCATCTTTCTTTCCACTTTTCTACTCACTAGAAAGTGAAACAATTCAAGTCACTGAAATTAAAAAGCAAATCTGGTTGAATACGTGCACGTTTTTACCATGCCAAGTTGAACTAGATTTAAATTACAACTGGACAATTACCAACACAAATGAGGAGGGAATGGCTGAAGCCAGCTTTGAGCAATTGGGAGTAAGAATGAGGGAACAAAGCAATAAAGAGAAGGTGAAAACCTTCTGCCTTGTGGCCAGCATGGAAACCATAGGTTTGTCTCAGATGCAGCATAAAACTGGACTCTCAATTGCTTCCAGCTGGTCCAAAAAGTATTGATCAGTTAGATAAACAGTATCAAATTAACTACTGTCAGCAGAGATGGTCTGGTTGTGACCAATGAGCTTCAGGTTCAAAGGATTGGTATCCCATTCCTACCTTCCCTCAAAACAGCATTCACTTAACCTACCTCGTGACTCACACCACCAGAGGGAAACTGGGAAATATTTTTCTGCTTCACTGAGTGTTGCAAATATAAAATCCTACATCAATTGTCAGGAATTCAGGTAGCAGAGAGAAGAGGGTCAGTTAGGGAGCTACGTGGAAAACAGTGAATAGCCAAATGAAGGGGACATCTGTGTTTTAACTTGGCCACAGGATAAATGGTACAGACATTTATCATTTATACAGACAGAACAATTTGGCTCTATTTAATTAATTTATGGGCCATCATTTTTTACCATTCTTTTCCCTTCTTTCAACTAGAACTCACTCCATCCCTGCACATCATAATTTATGGAGTTAGAAAAATTCATTCTATTCATTTGATTCAAAACCAGCCTAAGTTGAAATATGGATTTTCCAGAATTTTCTTAATACTTTTTAATAGTTTCAAGAGCATTTATTTTTCAGCATTAAATTTTTGTACCTTGTCTCCTTCACTCATTCTCCTCTTTTCTCCAGTGAAGAGAATTAGAGAGAGTTGAGGATTAAAATATTTTAAATAACCCATTTTTTTCCAAAAGCACAAACAACTATTTATTATTAAAACTCAAGTATACAAATGTTTTCCACCTCTTTCTAAATAAGTTACATTTACATCTTTATTTCAGTATGTCTCTTACTGTTTTGTCCACACCCCTTGTCTCTCTCTGAAAAGCACCATGAACTTTTGTCTTCCTCCATTTACACTGCTGGGTACTGATTTCTCCCATCCTTTGATTTTCCCCTCCTTCTCTGCCTTAGTGTAAATCCCATTCTCTTCAGGTCAGTGTCTAAATCTCATGGCTTACTTAATACTTGCCACTGTAGCAGAATGGATGCCATCTTTTCCTTCCTACTGTGCGCACCTCCTCACACTTGTAACAATGCTGGGTTTTTTCCCAAATGTTGCACCATTACTTATTTTGTAAATTCTTTTATTTATTCCCTATCTACTTTCTTTTTGATACAATAACCAGTTACAATTTTTAATTCTTTTTTACCACTTCTACTGTAGCAAACTATGAAAACAGCAGCTTCTTAAACCATTTTTTTTTTATTCCTTAAAGAACTACCCAAATATTTTCAAAGAAATATTAGCTTTTGCCATTTAAATTGGAAGCTGACAACTCAGAGCCTAATGAAAGTTCATGTCATTTGCTCAATAAATATCACTGAACTGGTCAGGTGGAACCTCATTTTAAATAACACAGCAGAAGTCTGCATCTATCAAAGGTTTGAGCTTCGCTAATTTTTTTCCTTCAGTTCAACCAAAAAATAACCTCCAAATGAACACTTCCCAACTATTTCTGTTAGATGGATATCCCTGAGGTTCCAGACAATCCCTACTCTCCCAAAATTATCATATTAAGACCTCAAACTAAGATGAGGCGAGAAGAAAACCAGAAGGATGTGGCTGGATGCAGAAAGCCCTTGCAGCACACGAGCTCCTGGGAGCAGGGGGGACCAGGGAGTGTTCCAGGTCTGGCTGAACTTACTCACAAGCTTTCCTCAAAGGCTGGGCAATGAAATTTATCCCAAGCACAGCTGCTGTTCTGAACCAAGCAAGTAGATGTGTTTTCCTTTACCTGTGCACATCGCTTCTAACTCCTGAACTTCTCTTTCAGCCTCTTTGATTTCTTGAAACGCAGCTGCAATGGGGGACAGATCGGCACATCTTCTCCTCAGGGTTCTTTGCTCAAAGTCATTTAATGAGTGTGCACTTAACTGATGACTAACCTGCTGGTACTCCCTGCTGAGAGACTCCAGATACTTCTGCACAGCCTCATTCTTCCACAAAGCTTGAGAATCCTGATGGTTTTTCCTGTGCCAACTGTTAAAAGACAGAGTGAATCTAGCTGTGTCCAATAAAGGCTTTGGCCTCCAAAATCCATGGCTGTGCAGTCCCACCATGCAGCCTCTCTTCTTTGCAACAGGAGGGAGAAGACAGCTGTCAAGTTGGCTGGGACAGCAGCAATTGGCAAGCAGGCTCTTGAAACGGCAGACCTTTTGCAGAGGTTTCATTTTGTTTCTTATTTTTCCACCTCCTGAAATTAAAAGTACACAGTACATTGGCCAGTGTTGTTATCTGGAAAAAGAAAGCATTCTATTAAAAAAAACTACAACAAACAAACACAAGGATGGTATTAAGGCCATATCCTGGTTTGATTACATCGACACAAATGCAACTGTCATGGACAAAACTATTCCTGTTTCAGTCCCAGTTTAAACCAGTTTAAAGAAGCTCTTATCACTACCACTGTACTGACTGAGGGTTGGAAAAAGTCTTTTCTCCCCACTTCTCAAACAGTTTATCTATACTATGGAAAAGCTCCTGTGGATGAGACTTTAAAGACAGTAGCTTCATTTTGCCATATGACTCATCAGAAAAATCCAACCATTTCATGCCTTACTGATGAAAGAAAAATGCTGCTGAGAAGGCAAATCAATACTAGAGGTAAAGAATTCTATACAGAGAATGTAATAAATGTCCAGAATTATGTGTCAAATTACATCCACTACCATAAAAGGAGGACATATGTAGATGACCACACAACAGATCAGTCAACAGGACTTCAATGCACTTACAAAAAATCACTCACTCATATGAGAAGTGAGTGAACCTGAGGACAGGAGAAGACAGGTGAACTTCTTTATGTGCTTTATGTCCCCTGCATACTCCTTACTGTGATATATTTACACTTAAGCAACATAATATTTTCCATCCAAAAAGTAAGAAGCAGGTACTCTGAAATACAACTCCTGTATTTTTCTGAGACATTTGGCCTACAGTTTTATAGGACCCAGGCTCCCCTTAGCATTACAGCTGCTCTATGAAAGATTATTTCCTCCTCACTTTATATCATCAACATTGCAAACTATGTTATGAATTACTACTGTGCTCTAAAATTTTATATTGGACTGCTAGGCTCTGCCAGGAAAACTACATTGAGATCACACTTATTCTAGGGCTACTCACACAGAAAAGGTTTAACATACAAAGAAGCATTCCTAGTAACCCTGCCAGTGCCACTGTCCCATCTGCCCACCGACTTTTACAAAAACGTGGATTCTGAGAAAATAGGAGCATAAATCTTTTTGCAACAAGATCTCCTGGAAACACACGTTTCAGTTTCCTGACAAAATTATGTTTTACTCACCAGTGACAAGACCTTCTGTGCATCTTCACGCATTTTACTAACAAATCACTGTGACACTCTAACTACTCAACTCGCCCATTATTCTCACCTATTTACTGCCATCCATTGTCCACAATGAAGAAAGAGCAATATGCAGCAGAACCAGAAGTACTGCATCCTGTCTGAATGCTTGTTTTACTACCTACAGAAGGAGGCAAGGACCTTTATTCTATTCTGTACCCCCCCCCAGGTTCCCCAGCCAGCAGGTGCTATTGAATCCACAGCAGCAATCTCAAGACTGCTTTAACGTACAGAAAGCAAATTATAGCCTTCCTGGAATCCTGTAGTGACTAAAACCAGCTGCAGCAGAGGGATCCTGCTCCCTTCACCAGGAGCACAGCAAAAGGCACAAACCAGGCTCATCATCCACAATCCTGGATTTCAGCATGAGTAGACTCAGTTCCAAAAGACCTAATTCCATTAATGAATATGGACTTGCTCCAGATCAGCATGGCCCACTGTTGTTTGGCTAAGTGCTGACCATCGTCAACTCAATTTTAAAACATTAATGTTATATTTTATTTTAATTAATTCATTAAACATATTAATTATTAATTACAACCACCTAGCTAATTTTTACTGGTGTAGTTAAGAAGCAACGCACTCAAATAATAACACATTTGCTGTATTGCTTTGCCTGAGCTCTCAGAAATAATATTCTTGGGTTTAAAAGAAAAAAAAAGTAATGAAATAACACAGACCTTCAAGGAAGCCAGAAGTTTCAAAATCATTGTGCTATGTTAAATAAAAAAGATATCTCCTTCTCAGAGTGGGGGTGCCGCACCTTATTTGCATAAAAATAAACAGACATAATTTTTACAGAGCTATAAGCATTAGATGACCTATTAAATGATCTCCAAACCAGATTTTAATAACTTTTAAATATGATTAAAACGCCCTCGTGCACGCCACAAATCAAAAACCAATAAGCGAAAGTGACAACTGTAATTGTCCAATTAAAATAATAATTTTTAAAAAAATAATTTCAAGACAGGAAAGAGCTCTCAATCTTGCGAACTCTTTCAGAGATTATAAAATGCATTTCTAACAACCAAAGATGGGACCGGCGCCATGCAGCAGCACTCGAGCACACAGGCGCACGGCAGGAGGAGGCCCTGCAAGGCTCACGGACCGGCCCAGGAACAGCTCGGGCCCCGGCAGCGCCCCCACACCTCTGCCTCCACCACGGCCGTCCAGCAAAGCCCCGGCAGCCCGGCCCCGCTGCGGGGCTCACGGGGCAGCGACAGGCTGCAGGAGCCGGCAGGAGAGGCTGGAACGGGCAGGGAGAGGAGGCTGGAGCGGGCAGCGAGAGGCGGCAGGAGCGGGCAGGGAAAGGCAGGAGCGGGTAAGGGAAAGGAGGCAGGGGCAGGCAGGGAGAGGCGGCAGGAGCGGGCAGGAGAGGCAGGCTCACCGGCGGGGCGGGGGCCGTGCTGCCCGGTACCGCGGCGGGGCTCCGGCTCTCACCGTCCGCAGGCCCGGCCACCGCCGGATCGCGGCGCGGCCCGCGGGCCCACGGCAGACGGGAAGTGCGGCGGGCGCGCTCCCGGTCCCAGCATGCCTGCGGGAAAACGCGCTTCCCGTCCCCCCACCGGCACCGCGCCCGAGCCGCGCCGGCGGCAAAGGCAGCCTCCGCCTTGCCAGTCTGGTTAGTGAAAGATTAATTTCAGAGACATCTGAATGAAATAACATTAAGCTCCACTTTGTGTCAAAGCTCACTATTCCATTCTACTTAAAATGAATTACTATTCTACTAAAAGCAAGCAAAATATTAATAATAATTACCATTCTGATTATGACTATGCTAGTTAGCTGCAGCTTCCTCATAAAGTATGCATTAAAACATACTATGTATGTGGACATTTTAAAAGCTATTATTAAACCTCTACCTCCCTAATTAAAAATTTAAAAATACTTAAGCAATGGTTTTTTTAATACCTATAATCACCAAAATACCTTTCTTCTTAGCTACTGTCATTCTATGAAATTAAAAAAAAAAAAAAAAAAGGTAAAACTTTTGTTTTTGGCATATAAAACATGGGATTTGGTGTAGTAAATATTCCAGAAGACTGAAAACAGGACGAATCAATGGGTAGGATTTGGATCAAAGCTCAGTGCCTGAATGACAACTAACCCCTTGTTTAGGCCTGAGGACAGGTTCTGGCTCTGCTCTACCCGTGGGTACAGGAGGCAAGGCAGACAGATGGAAAGCCACTTCCAGAGACCAGGAGTTGGTCCACAGGAAGGGCTACAGGGAATGACATCTTGAAATCTTCCCCAGGCCTGAGCCCACACTGATGTGCCCTTAGAGATTCCATCAGCCAGACACCACTCCCATTATACCTCACTCTTCTTCCACTCTGACTTCTGGGACTCAGTGAAATGAAATAATAAAATTGTACTTGCATTGGTACTCTAAATATGTAATTTGATACTTAAAAGTATTGGGAAGGTCCTCTCTGGGAGGACAACCAGGAACCTAATAATCTGAAACTGCAAGTAGACCTCATGCTCCAAAATTGGTTTTAAAAGAAGAAGGTAGGCCAAGGAAAATCAAATCAGCTTCTACTCCAGTCAGTAATGGTTATTGCATTGAATCCTCTGATTTAACATGATCATGTTCAGTTTTTATTATGTCTTGTGGCTGAATGTTTTAAGTGTGAAAACAGAGACTGTAACAAAGTCCTGCTCCCTCCCTACCAGCCAGCAAAGCACGCAGGGGCAACACAGCCAAGACAAGGGCTGGACTCTGTGCAGCCAGCAGGGCTGCCAGGGACCACCCACCACAGGACCTGTCCATGCATCTCATACTCACAATATGTAAGATACACTCCTTCCCTAAGTTTACCGTGCACTTTTAGACTGCAGTATGAGAACTGAGTAAGAAGGATGTGAAATCTGCTTCTACCCCTCTCGCAGTTTGTTTCAATGCCTTAAAACCTGCATGGCTGGAGCAGCAGGTGCTGATGGAGCTGGTGAGGATAAGGGGTTATGGGGCATGGGCTATTTGGGGCAGGGTGCCACCACCTTCCTCAGCAGCCCACAGGCACATTGGGTGCAGAAGGGAAGAGTCACAGCAGGAAGACACCTGGGTTCTGGGGCTTTAGGATAGATATGGTGGTGTTGTACTTTAAAAGCTGGCACTATTAACCTGCCAATTTAGAAACTGGAGGCAGAAGGATGGCTCATCAGACAGAACAGGCTCCAGGCCTTGCATAACGCTTGGCTTGAAGGCAGGTCCATGATCACACGGGGCCCTTCCTTGCCCAGGGGGCCCTAACTGGGTTTAGCAGTGTGCCAGCATCTCCCAGCAACTTCCACAGGAGCAAAGAGACGCACTCTGCAAAAATAGCAAACTTGTTACAATGTATGTAACACTTCAATATTGTTCCCCCCTTTTAGCCGAAACAGGTCAGACTTCTGACATCTTTCTGTTTGAAGGAATAAATGGTGACAGAATCATACGCATCTTGAATACAGTCCTGTTTAATAACAAAGCCTGTAGAGAGAGCTTTGTTTTGCCCAGCACTGTGGGATTAAATGACAAGAAGTTTTCTTGACTGCACTCCCAAACCTCACTTTCAGTTGGAGCTCTGCCTTCCCACAAAGCTCATTTCTTTGTTTATTCTTTCCCAGCTAGCCTGCAAACATTTCTTTTATTGCCTCTCTGCTTTCCTTTTCTTGCTGCTTTTAACAGACTTTTAATATGGACACATCTAGATGCAAATCGAACCCCTGTCTCTTACTTGCAATTTGCCTACTTTCAGGCAGCATTCTTTTGTGTGGACTAGTGGATAGTGTTTGGACTATCAGGAAACAGAGACCTTTAGCTATGAAGAACAGCCTTATTGCTTCAGATCAAAGGTCCACCTAGCACAATATTTGTCAGATCATTCTCCGTGATGCATCAGTTTATCATTCAACCCAGCCAGAGGCATAAGATGCCTTTTTGCCAAGAGATAAATTAGGGTTCATAGAGTCGAGGCTTTAGCTAGTTGTCAGAAGTGCTGAAGACATGCCAAGGTACAAACAGGCTCTGAAAATCATGCTGCAGGGCAAAGCCAAGGCTGCCATCCCTCTCAGTAATACTCCCGCTTTGTAAAAATCGGATACCCAGTGCAGCACTACTACGGCATATAGCAGAAAGAACAGTGAATAGGGTACTGTGTGTGGAAAACACACATCCTATGATCAGCAACCCTGCTGACTGACATCATTAGAAGCATGCCAGAACAAAAAAGTGAGAAATAAACACAACAGAGATATTCCTTGTGACAGACCATACATCTAGACAGATTAACTACGGAAACAACCATTCACAAAAACTGTCCATAAGCTGATGGCTCAGCTATAAAGAACTATAGGAAAGCATATACTTTACGTTCTCATCTTTACTATTTTCATCTCAGGAAGCTGCCTAAACATACCATTTTATTTTTTTTTTTAACTTATTAGTCCTCAAGTTATTAGGCTGACATGCAGGTTACTCTCTTCCAAGAAATTGCCTACTGTCTTGTTCCCTCTGTTAGCCAGAAAGGAAAGCAGCTATCATGTCATCAGCTCCAGCAAGGCTCGTGTCAAGTCAAGGACATGCTGCTTGGGATCTTCAGTCTCACAGCCATCTGCTTACCGAGTACCATATAAAATATATTAAGTACACAGACTTTCTAATTGGCTCTTGTGAGTTACTGTTTTGCGCACTTGCTTTACTTGGGGATATCTATCGTGTTCATCATCTGTGACTGTAGGTGGGTAATCATATTAATACAGAACTAAGATACTTTGAAATAAATGCCAAAATATAATTAATATTTTTAAAGGTTAATTATGTAAACAAAGATTTTAATTGCAGTCGCCTAGTTTATTTTCCCTATAAGATGGCTTTTTAAATTAGTTATAACCTTGACAGTTTAACCGATTTTCCTTCTAAGTAATGCCCTAGGCCATGCAGTTTTAGCGTTCCCGGTTGTTGGTGGTTTTGGTTTGGTTTTGTTTTTAAGAACGATTTTTGGGAATAACAAGGAAAAAAAAAAGGACCTTAGACCTCCTTCGGTGAAGGAGCCAAGCGATGAAAAAATGCCGCTGTTCTGTGGACGCCCGATGGTGTCGGGAAGTTTTACATAACCAACTGCTGAAAATGCCTTAATGCGACGGGGGCCGTCCCCGCTCGCTCAAAGCCTGGCTGCCAAGTTTGCTGTTGTTTCCTTAAATACCAGCCAGGGCACTGCAAGCCCGCAGAGCCGCTCCGAGCCCCGCCGCTGACGGAGGCTGCGCTCCTTCCCAAGGCC